CTGAAAAAGATGTTTTGCTGAAACTGTAATTTAGTAAATGACTAAGGTATTTATTAAAAAATGACTATTGTCATTTTGCAGACTTCTCACAATGTAATGTATATGAGAATTTAGATGTATCAGAATAGTAATGGTTTGATAATGGCCAACTTCCATGTTAAAATTATAGAAGCCATCTTTTTTTTTTTTTTTTCCTAATGACTTAATGCTTTTTAAAGTGTGCTTGTATTTTTTTATCCTCCTCCATGTTGTTGTAGTTGTTCTGTGCCGTTGAGTTGGACTTGACTCATAGTGACCCTTCCTTGGATTTCTGAGGCTGTATCACTACGGAAGTAGATTGCCCAACCTTCCTCCCGAGGAGCGGCTGATGGTTTTGAACTGCCAGGCTTCTCCATAGCTCTGTGTAAATCTATGTATGTTAAAGTAGTTTTGGGGTGATTACATTTTGGTGCTTCTGTTTTTATTTCCTACTCAGGTTTATCCTCCTGTGATGGTCACAGGTTGAGAGCCTGTTTCTTCCCCTAACACACATACTTAAGACTTCTGTGAGTACAGATTTTCATGGTAGTAGAAGGGCAAAGGCTGAGTTTATTCTTCTGAGCCATGACATGTACTAATTTTGCATTACAGGTATAAACTTCACTGTTTAATGATAACATATGCGTTGGTAATTTGAGCAAGTATGGGAAGAGGTGATCTCATTGGTGTGTGACAGTTATTGCATATCTTAAGATGTAATTTTTTACTTAAAAGAAGGTATTTAGTTTTAAAACAATCATGATAAATTTGAGAAGGTTAATTCTGCTGCCCATGAAGGTAATTTTATAGTATGACTGAAAGATTAATGACATGCAGTTAAGTTAAACATGTCTAATTAGAACACCAGAATAATGATTTGGAGTATTATGTCTCACAGGCCTTTCTGGGATTGTAGAGACATGTCTCACGCTCTTTGAGTGCTTTCTGGCATGCTACTTCAACTTCTGTTTTTATTCTTCTATGGTTTTATGGGCATATTTTCTCTTACTTGATTTTGTTCACATGCTCAGTTTGAAGGTAATTTGTATCTTCAGGGAGGGGCAGAAAAGTTGATGGCACTTGAAAGAAAACCTCTATGATTAGAATTCAGGTATGTTGCTGTTGTTAGATGTCATGGAGTCAGTTCTGACTCAACGACCCTGTGAACAACAGAATGAAACACTGCCCATTCCTGCACCATCCTCATAATCGTTGATCTGCTTGAGCCCATTATTGCAGCCACTGTGTCAGTCCATCTCATTGGGGGGCTTCTTCTTTTTTTTTTTTTGCTGATTCTCTACTTTTCTGAGCGTGGTGTCCTTCTCTAGGGACTGGCCCCTTCTGATAACATGTTCAAAGTACTTGAGATAAAGTTTCATCATCTTCTCGTCTAAGGAAAAATCTGGCAGTACTTCTTCCAAGACAGATTGTTCATTCTTCTAGCAGTCCGTGGTATATTTAGTTTTCTTTGCCAATACCATAATTAAAAGGCATCAATTTTTCTGCCGTCTTACTTGTTCGTTGTCTGGCTTTCCCATGTATATGAGGCCAATTGAGGATATTATGGCTTGGGTCAGATGTACCTTAGTCCTCAAAGTGACATCTTTGCTTTTTAACATTTTAAAGAGGTCTTTTGCAGTAGGTTTTCCCAATGCACTATGCCATTTGGTTTCTTGACTGCTGCTTCCTTGAGCCTTGATTGTGGATCAAGTAAAATGAAAACCTTGACAACTTCAGTCTTTTTTCTGTTTATCATGCTATTGCTTATTTGTAAAATTGTGAGAATATTTGTTTTTTTGTTAAGGTATAATCCATACTGAAGGCTGTAGTCTTTGACATTCATCAAATGTCACTTACTTGAAGTAAGTAAGTCACTCACTTGAAGTAAGTGCTTCAAGTCCTCTTTACTTCCATCAAGCAAGGTTGTATCAACTGCTGCATTGGCGTCACTAATTTAAAAAGTTAAAAACAGTTACCTAGTAGATTTCCCAAAATGTCAGTGGTGGTATGGTGTTATTTCCTTTCTTAAAAATGAAAACAACTAGGAATTAGATCTATTTCTCAATGGGCTATAATTGACCAGAGAAATTTTATGGAATCAGCCTTTTATAGAATTAATGATAAGAAATATATGAAAAGAACAAAATCATAACTTCCTTTTTCTTTTTTTAATTGTGATTTGGGTGAAAGTTTACAGAGCAAATTCACTTTCCATATAGCAGTTCACATACACTTTGTCTCATGACATTGACTATAATTTACCACAATGCAACAGCTCCCCTCCCATTTCCTCCAGATAGTTAGGTTTTCCCTGTGTCTTCCCTCCATGCACTCCTGCCCCCTCAGCTATGTCCCTGTGCATACACAGACCTTCCTTCTATTCTCCCGTGATTGTTCTTTCCAAGAAGTGTATCTGCCTAATATAAATGTTTACCTCATATGCCTGTCTTTTGTTTGGCTGGAAGCCGTAAGTGTGGGTTCAATTCTAGACCTGAAGGGCAGCTAGGGGCCATAGTCTCAGTGGTTCCACCAGCCTCTGTCAGACCAGCAAACCTGGTCCCTTTTTTTTTTTTTCCAAATTACTTTGAGTTTTTTCCCACAGTGTTCTCCCTCTCTATCCAGGATCTATCTCCTACATAGATCCCCCTCCCAGTGGTTGACAGTGGTAGCTGGGTACCATCTAGTTCTGGTGTCATAGTTGTATATGCTGAGGATTGCATGGTGTACCAGTCACTTGGACTAATTGTTTCCATGAATCTTTGGTTTTCTTCTTTGCTTTGGATGAGGAGAGACCCATCATTGCATCTAGATGGCTGCCTGCAAGCTTTTGAGATCCCCGTCGCTACTCACCAGAGTAGGAAGTGGAACAATGTTTTGTGTAGTGTGTTATGCCAATTGAACTTGATGTCCCCTGCGACTGTGGTCCGAGCCCACAGGTTCAACTACTCGCTCCCTCTGGGTAGCTGGCTGTGCTCAAGAAGTGACTACAACCTTGTCTCTTGTCAGCTCTACTGTGTCCTTGGGAATTCTTACAGAACATACCAATTATTGTTGTGTGCCGTTGAGTCGTACCCAACTCATAGCGACCCCTCCTTGGGTTTTCGAGGCAGTATCACTACGGAAGTAGTTTGCCCCATCTCGTGAAACATTGTCTGCCAACCCTATACGTGGTCTTAGGTACTCTCTTCCCCCCAATAGACATACCTGATAGTTCAGTTTGTCCACCCATCTGTCTACCGTATAGCCATATTTGCCTTCACTGACAAAAAATCGTAAGTTCTTAAAGAAAACTGCTTTGTCAGTTCAATTTAATTGTATGAAATTTCATTAAAAATATTCTATAGTATGGATATTTTTGGTTTGAAAGAGCATTTGGCAAAAGTGTTTAGGAAGTTTATTATATGCAAATTTAGCTCTGGTAAAATTAAGATTTTTTCTCATCATATTCTTCAAATATATCTTTTTCTTTTTTCCTTTTGAAAATACAGTTTATCCTGAAGTACTTTATTTAATTTTCATAAAGGGCTTCTAGATTCAATGTTTTCAGTTACTCAGGTCTTTAAAACTAAAGATAATGTGAAGTGTTCCGTGGTTAACTTGGGCTAGTTAGCATCTTGGATTAATTGTGATGATAAATGTTTTATTAATTCTTTAATTATTTGAACTGATAGGAACAGAAATCTATATTGCTCCCAAATCCATATTTGTATCTGAATTATTCATTCAGGTTTTCATTTGAAAATCTCATTTGATTATTTTCTCTTTCCCATTTTGTATGCAGGTCATGGCAAAACCCCAAAAGATGCAGCATCTGTTCGTGCCACACATCCAATACCAGCAGCCTGTGGGATTTATTATTTTGAAGTGAAAATCGTCAGTAAAGGAAGAGATGGGTATGTGTAAATTTTGGTGGGAAAAATCACTTACTGTTCTTGAGTAAATATTTTTGTTTTGATTCATAACATCTGTGATCCAGTTGGAAAATTGAAATTTTGGAAATACTGGTATTAGAAAAGTGGATTCTGACTATTCCAGTATAGCAGATTGGATTTGGTTTTACTTAAATACTATTTGAAACTAAAGCTTGAGTTACTCATTAGAATGGAGACTTGGAATTAGACAATTGAGGGAAAATAACTCGTTTTTCATGCCTTGTCTTATACTGTCTTTTCCTGAATTCTTTTGAGAAGTTAAATCCTCTCATAGCTAGTTAACTAAAGTCAGTAGGTTATGCATAGATATTTTACAGGAGTTACAGGTTAGAATTCTAGTTTTAGATCGGAAAATGTATGTTTGTACATTTAGAAGAATTTCTCAGGGGTTAGGTGATTTAGAATCTTCCAAATGAGAACTTCATGTTAGACCCTGGTGTACCAACTTTTAGATCATTGCTTTACAACTTGTGGATCAGAATCATTTATGGAACTTGTGAAAATGGCATGGTGAGGGCACCTGACCTCCTTTAACTTCACGATAGCGAAAGAGAATTACCATCAGCATCAGCCCAAAGCTGATTGCTATGAAGTGGAGGTTGGACATACCTCCCCTCTCCAATTTTCTTTTCTTTTAACCAATTCTGATAGCAGCTGTCCCTCTCACAGCACTCTCTACTTCTCTGCTGGGGTTGATAATTCATTCCAGTAGCTATCCAGAACTTACAGACAATACTCAATGTTGTGAGGTTTATTAGGGAAGTAATAGGTTGTAATTCAGGATCAGGAGCAACTCAAGATAGAGTTCTTCAGTTAAGTCACACTTCTCAGCTGTGCTCACAGGAAGGCCTCGCCCTGGCCTTCAGCCCTACGGTCTGTTGCACCTCTTGGGCCAGCCTCTGCCCTGCTCAGGCAAGCACTTTAGCTCCGCCAGTAAGTGCTCAGAGGTATCCCACTCATCCAGTAAACCTCACCTTCAGCCTGAAGGTGCTTAGCTCTCTTGCTGCATAGATCAATAAACCTCATTCCATCAAGTGCCTGGAGGTGCCCTACTCTGCCAGCAAGCCTCCTGCTCAAAGGTGCTCAGCTTTCTTGCTCCGTGGGCTGAGAAGCCACCATGCATTCTCTTGCTGGTCTCCTGGTTCTGTTGCTGCCTGTACTCTGCCATGCTTCCCACAGCTTTTCACCATCTTGTGCCATCCCTGGTGTTACAGCTGTCTGTCTCCTGGGTCTAGATAGTTCTCAGTGCAGGAATCCAGAGTCTAAAAGATGTGCTCTGTTCCCAGATCTTCTTTCTTGATGGTAGCTCTGGGATTGGCTCTCTTTTAAGCCTGGCAGGATGGCAAAACTGACCAATCCCCTTGTCAGGGTTCCAAACAGCTTATTTACATGAGTTCACTCCTACAAGTTTCCACATACCTTATTTGCATTATTAGCAAGCTGTCCAATCCCCTTGGTGGTCCATAAACTCCTCATTTGCATAATTCCACCCAATCATAGTGTGGGAGTCACTATCGCTATAAGGGCCATGTTAAGTAATTCACTGCACTGCAGGGCTATTACAAATACAGTAGTTTGGATCATAGTCCATAGTTTCTAAATCAGATTTCAGAAATAGAGCTCAGGCAAAATAGGGTTTTTGAGAAAGCTCCACTAGGAATTTTGGTGCATATTCCTTGCTAAGAACCAATTACCTAGAATCATTAGACCTCCTACATTGTAGTTTGTAGCATTTCCTGATGACTGCTTTGTGGTATCAGAGATCCTATAAAGTAACCATAGGGTCATCTGTCCAAATACCAAGAAAAAGCAATTAGGCTGTGCTGATAAGTTGACTTGTATCTGATGTTAATCATTCAGTCCTCATGGTGTTCCTCCCATTTTTAATTAACAAAATAAATGAATTCAGTTCATTATTCTGCCTCCTTTATTTGCTGAATAGTATCAATGTTAACACTATAGCACGTTGAAAGTGAAAGCTTAGAATTCAGTTGTAATTTTTTAGTTTAACTGCCTCAGTTTTCTCAGGGTATTGGTGCCAAAGATAGAGTCATAGAAAGCAGTATAAAGTGGTTAAGAGAGACCCCAGATTTTTTTTTTTCCTTATTGATTGAATTATTGATTGATTGTGATTTGGGTGAAGGTTTACAGAGCAAATTCACTTTCCATACAGTGGTTCACATATATTTTGTTTCATGACATTGATCACAGTTTACCACAATGCAACAGCTCCCCTCCCACTTCCTCCCCACAGTTACCTCTTCCCTGTGTCCATCCCTCCATGCACTCCTGCCCCCTGAGCTGTCTCCCTGTGCATAAACAGCCCTTCT